ACCCCCGGACGGCGGGGGAGCAAGCTACCACCGCCCCTGCGAGACTAGCGCCGCCATGCGCCAAGAAGTGGAAACACCACGTGACTGAGGCCACGTGAGGGCAGGGTCACGTGATGGAGGGGCGGAGCATAGTAGCTTTGCACCCGACACTAACTGAAATGCGGCGCTGTGATTGGGCGCCTTAGCATGAATGAAGCCCCGGCGCCAGAATCAGCCGTTCGCCTTATATGGAAAGTGAGCCTTTGCGTTTCACTGTTCTGTATTGGTTTGAGAGCCACGGCACCATACGAATTGTGAGCCCCTTTGAACGGGTCACCGCCCAAGGCACTGAGGCGACGGCTGTGCCGGGCAAAGTCTAGCCTGGTGGGAGAGGTGGGCCAGGGAAAGTGCGATCCAGCAGCCACTGGAACGTGGATTGGTATTATCCAACCGCGACAAACGATGTCAGCAGCCTCTTCTCGTGTCATAGACACTAGACAGTGTCTATGACACGAAAAGCTAGACAGACAACGTGGGCAGTGCCCAATCAAAAGCTACTGAACGATCCAGTTAAGAAGTTGGCGAGGTAGCCAGACCAAATAAAAAGTTTTTAATTCGATTTTGGTTGACAAATGACATACAAGCCCGCTGTGATGGACCACAAAAGGAGCTGAACAGTTCATACAACTTCTAAAAAGCTCAATGGTTTAAAAATGCAAAAGTTAAATGTTAAAATTCAGCCTGCATGTTTAAACTCTGGTCCGGCGCTGGCAGGAAGCTTATAAGCTTATATTGCCACTTGCAATTCCACTATCTTGTAATATAACCAATAGTTCTGTGAGAGCAGCAGCTGAAAGCCCCGTTGAGGGGAGAGGGCGGCGCGAAACGGTCCCCTCTCTCCTTTTCAGTCGATATCTCCTAAAGTATAGCAAATGTCGCCACCAAACTTTCAAGACCCCTCCGGGCATCATTTTTACACCTTGTTACCAAATTTTTCCAGAGCTCTTATGAAAGGTTAGTCACAAATGACGTCAGAGGGATGTCATGCTCTGTCATTTTCGACCCAATAAAAGGTTTAGCGGGAAGAGCTGTCACGCTTGCAGTTTTGAAGATAACGAAAAATATTCAAGATCAAAAAGATATAAAATAAACAGCACTACCAAACTGCTAACTCTTATTTCCAAACAAAAATTGATTTTGACCATCAAAACTATAGAATTAAACTTCCCGAAAATACCAACAACTTTCAAAATTAAAACTGAAATATATGTTATAGAACTATCTGCTCTAGATATGCCAAACTTAAACTCGTTAGCTCCATTTTTAGCAAAGTTATGGCCAAAAAAAATACTCAAAATTTATTACGTATTTTTTTTTTTCAAATTCAATTTTTAGCCGTCACAGAACACACAGAGCAAGCCAAAGACCACCATTGGATTTCCTGTGATGAGCTGCATCGAATAGATACCCCTTTTATGCAAAATATCAACTTTCAAATTTGACCTTCTTTGACCTGACCTTGACCTTACCTCCACCAGAATGTAATCAAAACTGGCCCCAATGGCCGTCTAGCCCACACCATTGAATTCTAAATGTAAAATTGGCCATAAAACATGTATCACACGACCCTAGCATAGTTGGGTTCATATTGTAACCCTTAGTGACCTGACCTCTGTGAACTGACCTGGCATCAATGACCTCTTTAGGCAACATATGTATCAGACAACCAGCGCTCCATCGATGTTTTTCGATTACATGCCTTTTATTTGATGTGTTAACTGACTGTAAGGCATTCCTTAGACTAAATCGGTGAAAAAAATGCGACCTTTGACCTAACTTGTGACGTCATGGGTTGCACCTAGGTCAACAAAACCTGGTAACAAGGTAGTTCCCTGATGGGGCTTTAGAACGCTCTTTGAATGTTCAAAATCGGTCGGTAACTTTCCGAGATCTCAGGTGGAAGGCGAAACGGCTGCAACACCCGATCAGGTGGTAGGGTCCGCCAATAGCCCAAGGGGCGCGGATTATTTATTCACTCATACAGTGTCATTTATATTGAGAACACCTTTCTCACGCCATGACATGGTCCTCTCGTAATAGAACGAGACGAGGAGAGTGTTTTCACGCCTCCTTATGCACGGCTCTAAGTGTCATTGAGCTATCAACTGTCAGCGGTTTTCGGACAATGAAGTTCTTAGTTCTTACTGAATCCAATTTTATTTCAAACGATTGTCACTGTGCTAGTTTTTTCTTATACGTTTTAGAAAAAGCGCTGAAGAAGTCTTTGATAGACGAAACCGGTCCGCTTATTCTTTTTCTAATTGTTTTTTTTTTTTTAATATATTCGTAGACTACTGGCTCTTTACTACAAAATTTGAGAATGTTTGGTATTACTTTGACCCGAACGATGTGCAGCTGAATTTTCCCTGTTAAATGATTATGGACAGCTCGCGAAATTAACTTCAACCCAAACTACCGACAAGCAGAAGAAAATCCGATACAAGCCTACCGCAATCCTCTCACCTTATTCAACCGTTGAAACGTTAAAGGCATGTGTTCAGTCCGAGTCGCTATGTCGACCACCCGCGCAGTGCTGGGGGGGGGGGGGGGGGGGCGTTTTATGCCCTTCCCCCTCAGGTTTTTCGCGAATATCTCAAAAAACTGCGACGGTCAGGTCACCGTAACGTCAAGTGACCTTACATCAGAAAAAAAAATTCGAAAGCTCGCTGTAGCTACACCGACTGAGCGGACTTTAAACTCTCAGTAATTGCTTAGGGTAATAGTGTGTATAAAATGGATACCTCCGATTTTTTATGTCTGTGACCTAAGGTCAGGTCAATTTTGCGACTGCTCCATTAGGTATAAGTCAATGGGAGAAAATTGAAATGCGCCTCTTTTGGACGAATTTCGTTCTACACCCACTCAAACATCGGTCCATAGGTAAACATGACACACTGAATCGGAAAATCGCACCTGTGACCCCATGTGTGCCCCTGAGGTCATGTTAGGACATAAAAGGTCTTCAGCAGTTTTTTGACTTTTGACAAAGACGTGATAGAGCGGTGAAAACACCGTTCATCTGAGGTCAAATTTGAGGTCAATCAGAGCGGTGCCCTCTGGGGGCTAAACCGTTGATCTGAGGTCAAATTTGAGGACATGTTGGCGAAAGAGCGTTAAAAGAGCTATCGAATGCGCTTTTCTGCGGCGCTGTAGCTCTATTGGTTCCCGAGTTAGCCATCGGGTGTTCAAAATCGTTGAAATCAACAAAATTTGACCTTTGATGAATCCTGGTGACCTGGCCTTTGCCCTGACCTTAAAATGCCCGAGTGTTTTCCTCCTTATTTTTGACGCTCTTTTGATTGCCGCTTACCGCGTGTCGCTACGTGGCCCAGGAGCCGAGTTAGACGGAGGGGCGTGAAACGCCCCCCCCCCCCCAGCACTCGACGGAAAGTTCATGCCACCAACACGGCGCGGGTTAATTGTTATGCTAGCCTAGCTCCTGTTGTAAGCTGTGGAGTCGTGGACCTGATCTTGAATGAACTGGGCCTAACATTTTCATAGCAAAAGTAAAAAAAATGTTTAATAGGTTGTGCAAAAATTAGCATCTCTTTTATGAAACATTTGCGAAACCTTCAACATCATCCCCAGGCCCCATTAGTGCCGAGCTCCCAACGACGACATAAAAGCGTCCCCATCCGGTCATAGGCGGCGGAACGGGAAGGGCACCGTGCCCCCCTTTGATTTTTGCATTTCAACATTAGCCCTATGAGCGTTGCATGGAAATAATAGGACCAAAAGTCGGCAGCGCCCCCCCCCCCCTAATTGAAGGTGTTCCGCCGCCACTGCATCCCGTCAACGTGGGTTCATCATAAGGATGCTAAGATTTAGGCAGCGTTCGATGTCTCCCGGACGGCAAAGATTCATCATTCTTTGCCGTCCGGCCAATCCCGTCCAAGGTCAGCGGGGGTTCGGCTGCGGTTATGAAACGTGATTGGCCGGACGGCGTAGAATCTTCGCCGTCCGAGAGACATCGAACGCGGGGTTAATTTCCAATCTAAAGCTGTAATGATGAAAAGCAAATTTACGTTTTACGTGTGAAACAAGCTGACACAACTAAATTTTTCCTCTGTCGCTCCCTCTCACTGATTTACCCATTGTCCTCTTTCTCATTTTACCCTCTCTGGTTTTCCTTTTCTGTCTCTCTTTTCTCTCCTCCCGTCCTTATCCCTTCCCTCCAGTCTTTTTTAGCCCTCTCTCTCTCTCTCTCGCCCTCTCTCTCTCTCTCGCCCTCTCTCTTGCTCTCTCTCGCTCTCTCTCTCTCTCGCCCTCTCCTCTCGCCCTCTCTCGCTCTCGCTCTCTCTCTCTCTCTCGATCTCCCTCTCTCCCTCTATCTCTCTCTCTCTCTCTTTCTCCCTCTCTCTTTCTCTCTCTCCTCTCTCTCTCTCCCTCTCCCTCTCTCTTTCCTCACAATATTCTCGACTGTCACAGCGCTGTAGGGCTTGTTTCCAGACAGGTCCAGGCGCTCTCCACTCCGCAGGCCCCAGCCCACACGGCCCAACCGCTCAAACACCCTCCGGCGGATGACCTCTGACCTCGGCGACCTGACCCCAGCCGACCGATCGCGTCCCCCTCCACGCCTCCGCCCCGCTTCCCCCACTACAGCTGCGTAGTAATTGTAGCGTGTGCAAAGGTCACGTGGCATTATTTACTTCTGCGGCTTGTTCGGCTGACAAGAGATGGCACTACCTACTGGTCTGTGGATCAGAGGCGGGGCTAGGTTCTACGACTTCTTGGGGCACACTTTAGGGCAGAAAATAGGTTTTTTGGCTCTCCATCCCAAAATGCTTCGAATATACAAAAACAAGTTGGATATTCGAAAATAGGAGGACCAAACAGATCGTTTGACGTATCTTGTGCGACTGAGAATTGATCGCTCTTCAAACTACTGAGCAAAAACGAGGTGATTAGTAGCAAGTGCTGGTGACTGTACATAATGTTATTTGTTAGGCATCAATAGACGATTTATTTAGTTATTCATATGTATTTGACCTGATACACGCATCATTGGCATAACATAGATCATGAAGAGCAGCAGTACCGGCCAACAGTTTGCAGTATCCTCACAGTAGTGTGCTCACAATACCCCCCCCCCCCCCACACACACACACATACGCACACGACTCGTAAAGGTTACAGCTCATACACTCACAGTACACTGGTACAGGACTGCCGGGACTGAGGGAGCCACAGGGGCGCGTACTGCTCCGCCCCGTCCTCACTTCTCTCAATACACACATTGAGGCTACTCTGGGAGCCAACACAACGTCACTAGCCAGCTCTAACGCCGCACACGTCTGCGAGTTCACTGCAAGCATACGGTCGGTGTACAGTATGTCTAAAAAGAATGTACCGTCGCCACTACGTGGCGCTGGTGTCGCGAGCCGGTAGTTGGCTGAATCCGCACCAGACCACACATTCCCAAGCGTTAGGTGACAGCTGCGCAGCGGCCGGTAGTAGCGTAAGCCCGAACCTTCGTGACACGACCCCGGGGAGGGGAGAGAGGGAGGGGAGCGGGCGGGGCAGCGCGTGCAGGGAGGGGTGCTCCGGCAAGCTGGCAGTTGTCGCGGCCAAAGGTCAAGGGGTCACACACCAAGCGAACGGACGCTGATGTGGGTTCGTGGGGATCGTGAACTTGTGTGTGGTAGGTGCGTCTTGCGATGCACGGGTGATACGCCATGGGTCTAAGCCAAATGATTCGGGGGAGAGCTGAAGAAAAATACCTGGTCAACTACGGCGAATAATGGTAGTGAAAAATGGAAAGTATGGGTCAATGCAAGCCTTCATGACTATAAACTTTTCTGAGGGCGCAAAGGCCAGCATTGAATAACGACATCCGGATCGAAATTAGCAATGATTTATAATTACATGCCGAAGTAATAACGCTGCAAAACCCACCTAGTAAATTGTCAAGTCGGATTCATACCGACTTGAATTAAACTATCCTAAATTAAATTGTATATAAAATCTCTATGCTTTGACCAGCTTCGTGACCTGACGGGCTGTGACCTGACCTTGACCCGAGGTTAACACCTTAACTTGATCTCACCCGAAGAAAAAGTATACCATTCGACACGCCTGAGCTAGACAAACACGATGCTGCTAAAATCGCGGATCTGCGATCATGTTTAGCGAAGTTATTTACCAAAAACCGAACCTGTGCCTTGGGCCACTTGACCCAACCTCAGAAGTCATCGGCTGATCCTAGTCCTTAAAATCGGAGACCAATCGCTGCATTTCGTAACGACGCGCACGATCGTTTCTTTCGTGAGGCTCTAGCTCATTAAGGGGCGAATCGGCAAAGGGGGTTGTTCCCTCACTTCCAACCCCCCAACGCCCCCTCGGTATTCAGAAAACCTGAAGGTCCGGTGAGGGTTAAAACGTTGCTCCTGAACGAGGAAGAAATGTAAACGTCAAAGCTCTATAGACGTCCTGTAAAAGTGGCCATAATAAATAAATTGGTTAGAGATAAGATGCTTTTTAAACGACTTCCTCATATAAAATCGGGTGCTGGGACCAATCTTATAAACGCTTTAGAATGGAAAGGGCGTCACTGGCTAAAGTTTGGGTGCAGGAAACGGCTATTAAATGCAAAATGGTTTTCATGCATTTCAGTCAATTGTATATTGACGGTCCCAGTGGCCGAGCTAAAAAAAGTTTGGTAGTGTTTTGCATCTTTTACGCCCTAAGAAACTACACCATTCATTGAAGTGGGCGGGCTTACTTGAATGGGAGGGCGCATTATGCGTCAATCGTGTGCTTTCGTTTGTTTTGAACTGTATTTTACGACATCCACTGCTGGTATCACTATTAATATTATCTAATGCCGTGAATACGACAGCATTCCATTTATAAGATTGGGCCAATGGAGTCGCGCCCTGCGAGCTCGGTTTTCCGCTCGGCCGCTACGGGCCGAGGAAGTCGGTCTTCGCCTGAGGGCAGGACGGAGGTCAGCGAGGGAGCGCGGGGTCAGCCAGGTATCGCCCAGTGCCGAGCGGATGCCGCTCCCTCCCTCTCTTCCCCTCTTCTCCCCTCCCCACCTCTGTATAGATGGGGAGGGACCGAAACGCCAATGACATGCGAGCGGTCAAGGCCGCTCGCGCGGCAGCGACCCTGGCGGCCGGGTGCCGCAACTGGGATTCAGCCAAGTTACCGATTCGCCTCCTGTGGGAGAGCCAAACCAGGGGACATACTTTTTAGACATACTGTACGCACCGCATATGTCCCTGGGTTTCTGATTCGTATCGCCACGGGCCCGCACGACCACCGGCGGCCTCCGTCGCGCACGTTAGCGTCCTTTCGCCTGTTTGTGCCCGAGGCCGTGGCCACTGGTGCGCTCCAACACTCGTCTAGTTGCTACTACAGCGCCCGGCGCCCGTCACAGCCTCCCCTAGAGCGCCATCCCGTTCACGGTAACGGAGCCGCCGGCGGCGGGCTCCCCGCCGCCGTTTGTGTAGGTGGCAGCACTCTCGGCGCCGTCGTTGTTATAGGTGACGCTGCTGTCGCCGCCGCTGTTAGTGTACGAGGTGTTGTGGTCGTCCACGCCGTTGGCGTAGGTGGCGTCCCGGTTGGCGTACGTGCGGCTGGCCGGCGGCGACGCCGAGCCCGACGAGAAGCTGTCGGCCTCGGCGTAGATGTCCTCCTCGTCGGGCCGTACGGGCAGCGGCCGGTTCTGCATGGGCGCTGCGCCGGCGGCGAACGCGCCGTTGTGCGCGCCGAACCGGCCGCCGTCAGCCAGGTTGGAGAACTTCATGATGGGTACGCTGCGCTCCTCCATCGCCTTCATGCCCTGCACGTTCTCAGAGTTCTTCACCACGTGGGCTCGCCTGAAACAGCCAGGGTCAGTGAGAGTTACGAAACAAACACTTCTGACGTTCGATCCAGCTGACCCAGCTAAGACGTCCTCACAGTATATAATAGTCACATTCTTGAGCCAATACCTAACGAGAAAAAGGAGTGTGTAAAATAAAATCTTTAAAAGCTAAATAGCATCCTCAACATAATAACTTCTCACCACTATCTAGATAGTAGAATGTAGATACGGTATTTCCACTGAGCCCGCCCTGGTTCACCCATCTCCCCTCTTCCTCTTCTCTCTCTCTCTCTCTCTCTCTCTCTCTCTCTCTCTCTCTCTCTCTCTCTCTCTCTCTCTCTCTCTCTCTCTCTCTCTCTCTCTCTCTCTCTCTCTCTCTCTCTCTCTCTCTCTCTCTCTCCCTCTCTCTCTCTCTCTCTCTCTCTCTCGCCCTCTCCCTCTCTCACCTCCTGAGGCAGAGCACGGCGGTGATGATGCTGACCAGGACAAACAGTCCGACGGCCACGCCCGCCCAGATGGCCGTGTTGCGCGCCGTGGCGTAGTCGTCCGGGCTGAAGCCGGCCGCCGGCACGTTCTGCGGTCCGTCCAGGCCGGCGTCCAGGCCCGCCGACACCGTCTCGTTCATCACTGACGGAGGGAGGGGAATGTTACTAAAGGCCCGCCGATACCGTCTCATTCATCAATGACGGAGGGGAGGGGAACGTTACTAAAGGCCCGCCGACACCGTCCCGTTCATCAATGACGGAGCGGTGAGGACGTCACTAAAGGAATGGAGACAGCCAATCTGTCATTAAGCTCTCTCACCGACTTCATCCAGTCCCCGGTGACGTGCTCAGCTTTCTTCACGGTGACCCGTGCTGTATCCCTGCCCTGCCCTTAGTGACAGGTGCCCTCCCGGCGCCGTGTACTCACGGTCCCGACCAGGAGCTTCCCTGCCCTCTCGTTATCCCGGGTAGGTACTCACGGAGACACTGTGTGTCGGGCCCCGACCAGGAGCTCCCCTGCCCTCTCGTTATCCCGGGTAGGTACTCACAGAGACACTGTGTGTCGGGCCCGGACCAGGAGCTCCCCTGCCCTCTCGTTATCCCGGGTAGGTACTCACAGAGACACTGTGTGTCGGGCCCGGACCAGGAGCCGTCTGCCAGGCAGCGCCGGGTGAATGGTCCGTGTCGCAGGTACTTGGGGAAGCAGTGGTACTCTACCACAGAGTCGTAGGCCGTGCTCTGGTTCACCTGGTACACGCGTCCGTTCTCCACGGCGTTCAGCGGGCCGCAGTCCACCCCTGGAGGAGAGCAGGTCAGAGGTCTCATACAGAGGTCAGATACAGAGGTTAGAGAGCGGAGGAGGAGGTCAGATACATAGCGTAGAGGTCAGATGCTATAGGTCAGATAAAGAGGTCAGATACAGAGTCCAGAGTTCAAATACAGAGGCCAGCGAGCGGATGTAGGGGCCAGAAGTAATCTTGGGGGCCAGATACAGAGATCAGATAAGATCTCAGTGGTCAGCTAGCTACTTCAGAGAGTGGAGGTCATATACAGAGGTCAGAGGTCACATACAAAGGTCAGAGGTCAACAATGATATATCTGAGGAGGTTGGAGGTCAAATGTAGATCAGAGGTCAAGAAAGATCAGAGGGTGCCTGAGACAAGAGGTCAGAGGTCAGAGAAGGCAAACTAAGGTTGTCCGTTGGCACGATTCGCTTGCGAAAGTCTGGTCACGTCAGGGCAATCAAATAAACGCAAATGCTCGGTATAAAGGCACTCAGTACCCACTACATATTGTCGTACTGCGCTGTGGGTAGCGCTTGGCTGGACGGACGGTCTGTGACAACCTATTGATCTGTGGCTGATCTATTAGAGTGTCCGTCCGAGAGCCGTACGACGGCTGACAGAGCCTGGGGGTCGCGAACTGGTGTGGTAACCGTTACGCCCACCTGGGACGCCCGAGTCGGTACGGCACTTGCGGTGTCGTAACCGGATCGGCGGGAACCAGCAGAACGCTGTTGGACCGGCGGTGAAAGTCGGAACCGAGCACTCGCCCACCAGTGGGGCGTCTGGTCGAGCAGGTCTACCCGCTAAGGCAGCCTGAGCACGAACCAGTGGCAGGGTCCGATCAATGACCGTGGTCCGACCAGGGTGTCAGCGCAATGGCCAGTCAGAGGCGTCTTTAAGGGCGCGGAAGCCCACCTCGGTCGACTGTGGCCGGTGCAACCTAGTCAGGTCGTTTGTGTGAATCTCCGTGTTCTTCCCTCGCCTCAGAGTAGCCGCTCTTCTCCAAATGCCCGAGCCGTTTTCTATGTGTATTTGTCTTGTAGCGAACAGCAGAGTCGAGAAACGAATTGACAATGTCGCCGAAAACCGCGGTCACATGCTGGCCGTCCCTAGTACTACCAATATGCCCGCAGGCGCGGCGAGAGACAAGCTCAACGTATGAGTCACCGTCCGGCTGCCGGGAGAGCCCCTACCGCGACCTTTGTCCACAGTCATGACGTCACGACAATGGGCTCCTAAACGTACGGGCAGCGGCCGCCTCAGGGGTGCCGCCGTGACCTTTGCACGACACGTTCTATAGCGTATGGCACAGCGGTTACTAGGAAGGTTGAGGCCAGCGGCAGGCCGGTTTACAAATAACAAACATGACGCGCAATTGACAACAGGTAACAGATTGATTAATAAAGCGGTGACAATATAAATGAGAATGACAACATGAAATGACAAATCGCATAGATGACAAATTGCATAGATGATCCCTACAGTACCCCCTCGCCAGACATGTCGCGGACAAAAGTGACATGGCGATATCTTACCGGAGGTCGTACGACGCGGCCGGAGCGGGTCGTCCGTAGTATCGGCTGAGGCTGCAATGGTGCAGCGTCAGCCCGAGCGACGGCTGCAGGGCGAGTTGGTGCGTCACCGTAGATCAGAAGCTCCGGGCCGCTGGGCTCATTGCTGAGCGGTGGTGCGGCCGGCGGGCCGCTGGACTGAGTACCGTGCGGCTGCACAGTCGGCAGGTCAGACTGTCGATGACCGGATTCGTCTGGCGTCTCCAGGAAGGCGACCTTACACCGGTCGATGCTGATGACCTCCTTTTTCTGTCGACGGTCGATGGTGATGGTTTTGGTGGTCCTTTCGGTAACCGGGAACGGTCCGTCGTATGGAGCGTCCAGCGGGTAGCGGTGACAGTCCCTGCGCACGAAGACGTGTGTCGCCGTCTGGAGTGCCGTCGGGACGTACGTGGCGCGCTGGACCGGACGTGGGAGTGTCGGCCGCACCTGAGACATGGCGCGCTTCAGGTCCTGTACGAAACCGGCCGGTGATGCTGCTGAGGCTTGGCTGCTGATGAAGAACTCACCAGGAAGCCGCAGTGTGGTGTTGCCGGTATTGCTGCTGTTGCCTCTGCTGCTGCTGTTGCTGCTGCTGTTGCTGCTGCTGTTGCTGCTGCTGCTGCTGCTGCTGCTGCTGCTGTTGTTGCTGCTGGACGGTCGAATGGTGCCTTGCTGGAGCATCTTGTTGAACTCGGCACGTGCGATTTGAAGGCGCTCCGGCGGGAGGCGTCGTGGCCGCTGGTACACCGGTGGACCCTTGGTGACGATGTGGTGCGTCACGTTGTGCTTCACCGGTGTTGGTCCAGGTTTTGGTGAGGTCACATCCGGGTACCGGGCGAGGACAGCTGCGAAGCGAGCAGCAGCCTGCTCCCGGACGAGACGCACTCCGATGGAGCACAGCCTTGATCGCTCGGCGCTGGCGCAGACGGTGCCGTCCCGCAGGAGACGCTGGTTGGCAACGTCCACGACGAGGTGATGTGCGGCCAGGAAGTCGGTGCCCAAGATGGGTGTGGTGACGTCAGTGACGAAGAATCGATGTTTCAGGCGGTGCTGCTGACTCAATGTGACGTCCAGCAGGCAGGTGCCGTGCACCGCGATCGGTGAGCCGTTTGCCGCGACGAGCTGCTGGCCGACAGGAGCAGGGGTCAGTGTGGACCCGTTGGGCAGGCAGCGGCGAGGCAGCACGCTGACCTGCGCCCCGGTGTCGACTAGAAATTGCCGGTCCGTCTCCGTGTCCCTCACGAAGAGGAGTGGCGCGGCAGGAGGGGCGCCCGTGCTTTGCGCCATCAGCACGGGGCGCCTCAGTTTTCCGAGGCGATCCAGGAGCACGGCAACTTGCATCGGCGCGCTTGGGCGCCGAATCGCTGGTGGTACCAACACAGCGTGTCGTCGTGCGGCGGCGTTGAAGGACGAGCCGGTGACGGGCGGCGTGACTGGCGAGACGCCTGGCGCGGCCGGGAACGGCTGCGGTCGCGCCGCACGGCGTCCTCGAGTCGTCGGTTGCTGGCCTCCAGGCGCTCCATCTTAGCGACCAGGGAGGCGATGACGGTGTCCAGCGCAGGGGTTGCAGCTGGCGCCGGGGCTGTCACTGCAGCAGCGATGGGCGGTGCCGGCTGTGTGTACGGCTGTGCCGCGATCGCTGATAGCCGTGGGTCGGGTCCGCTAGCTTCCAGGTACCGGTCGGCCGCTTCTGCCAGTGCGTCAAGCGTGCTGTCGGCTGGCAGGAGGGCGAGGGCAGCACGGACGGGCTGCGGTAGCCGTTGTTGAAATAGGGTACGGAAGAGCTCCGTATCAACCGGTGCGTCCCCGGCTGCGGCTAGCTCGTTGCGCATTGAGCGCAACAGCGCCGTCGGCTTCTGATCGCCGAGCTGCTGGCGGCCGAGCAGGGCTTGTAGTCGGTCGGCGCGTGACTGTGCCAGGCGGGCTTGGAGCGCTGCACACAGCACGTCAAAAGACCGGGATGACCGGATGACGTCCTTGACCTGGACGGCGATGTTGGCGGGGAGGTTTGCGACGAGGAGCTTAAACCTCAGCTCGTCGGAGTCGACCCCGCTGACGTCGAAAGCGCACTGCACCTGCAGTAGCCACAGGTCGGGCTCTTCCGGAGAGTATGGTGGTAGCCGGAAGCTAGCCATGGGCCGATGAGTTGACTCAGAGGCTGAAGCTGGAACGCTGGCTGGGTCTTGAGCTGCGGCGCCGGACTGTGCGCTGTCCGCCGGCATGACGAGAGGCTAAGGTCGAACAACGGAGATCACGTCGGGGTCACCAATTGTCGTACTGCGCTGTGGGTAGCGCTTGGCTGGACGGACGGTCTGTGACAACCTATTGATCTGTGGCTGATCTATTAGAGTGTCCGTCCGAGAGCCGTACGACGGCTGACAGAGCCTGGGGGTCGCGAACTGGTGTGGTAACCGTTACGCCCACCTGGGACGCCCGAGTCGGTACGGCACTTGCGGTGTCGTAACCGGATCGGCGGGAACCAGCAGAACGCTGTTGGACCGGCGGTGAAAGTCGGAACCGAGCACTCGCCCACCAGTGGGGCGTCTGGTCGAGCAGGTCTACCCGCTAAGGCAGCCTGAGCACGAACCAGTGGCAGGGTCCGATCAATGACCGTGGTCCGACCAGGGTGTCAGCGCAATGGCCAGTCAGAGGCGTCTTTAAGGGCGCGGAAGCCCACCTCGGTCGACTGTGGCCGGTGCAACCTAGTCAGGTCGTTTGTGTGAATCTCCGTGTTCTTCCCTCGCCTCAGAGTAGCCGCTCTTCTCCAAATGCCCGAGCCGTTTTCTATGTGTATTTGTCTTGTAGCGAACAGCAGAGTCGAGAAACGAATTGACAATGTCGCCGAAAACCGCGGTCACATGCTGGCCGTCCCTAGTACTACCAATATGCCCGCAGGCGCGGCGAGAGACAAGCTCAACGTATGAGTCACCGTCCGGCTGCCGGGAGAGCCCCTACCGCGACCTTTGTCCACAGTCATGACGTCACGACAATGGGCTCCTAAACGTACGGGCAGCGGCCGCCTCAGGGGTGCCGCCGTGACCTTTGCACGACACGTTCTATAGCGTATGGCACAGCGGTTACTAGGAAGGTTGAGGCCAGCGGCAGGCCGGTTTACAAATAACAAACATGACGCGCAATTGACAACAGGTAACAGATTGATTAATAAAGCGGTGACAATATAAATGAGAATGACAACATGAAATGACAAATCGCATAGATGACAAATTGCATAGATGATCCCTACAATATGCTGTACTCTGCAATCGACTGGCAGGTAGGCGCCGTACTCTGTACTCGGTGCTTTGTACTCTGTACTCTGTACGTACGCGGTACGCGGTACGCGGTACTCGATACTCGGTACTCGGTACTGGTTCTCTGTACTCTGTGTACTCACACTGACAGGTGGGCTCTGTTCCGCCCCAGTGTCCGGTGCTCGGTACTCGGTACTGGGTACTGGGTAGGTACTCTGTACTGGGTACTGGGTACTCGGTACTCTGTGTACTCACACTGACAGGTGGGCTCTGTTCCGCCCCAGTGTCCGGTGCTCGGTACTCGGTACTGGTTACCCTGTATTCTGTGTACTCACACTGACAGGTGGGCTCTGTGCCGCCCCAGTGTCCGGTGCTCAGACACCGGCGTACCGCGGCGCCGATCAGCTCGCGTCCCTTGCCGCAGTTGTAGGTGGCCGTGTCGCCGACCTTCAGACCAGAGGTCACCACAGAGAGCACCTCCGCCGGCGTCTCGGGCACCTCGCACACGATCTCTGCACGGAGGACAGGGAGACTGGTCAGCCGGGGTCAGACAGGGACATAGAGCGTCAGACCGTCTCGGGCACCTCGCACACGATCTCTGCACAGAGACAAAGAGATCGGTCAGACGGGGTCAGACAGATCAATCAGACTGTCTCGGGCACCTCGCACACGATCTCTGCACAGGGGACAGAGAGACAGGAAGGTCAGACAGGTCAGTCAGGTCAGCAGACCATCCGCGGAACCTCATCTCACACACAATCTCTGCGAAAGGGTAGAGTGGTCTATACCGTTCGTACCGGTGCAGAGCGGCGGCTGGGCCGCTCCAGGTGCCGTCTCCCTGTCCAGGCAGGGAGAGCACTGTCTCCCCTCTGTACGTACCGGTGCAGAGCGGCGGCTGGCCGCTCCAGGTGCCGTTCTCCAGACAGAGCCGCCGGTTCAGGCCCTCCATGCGGTAGTTGACGTCGCAGCCGTACTCGGCGATGGCGCCGTAGTAGGTGGCGTTCAGCGGCAGCGTGACGCGGCCGGAGAGCGCCGGCTCCGGCGCGCCGCAGTCCACGTACACACAGGACGGAGGCAGGCCCGACCAGGCGCCGGTGCCGCGACACGAGCGCAGAGCGTCACCCACCACCTGGCGGCGGCGGCGGGAACTACCGTCAGTGGCAACTCACACCAAAACACGGTCCGACAGACTGTAACAGCTCGAATAGACGAGACGACGTCGAATTCTCGATCGCTAAATTTATTCGATTACATGTGCTATCCACTTAAGCACGGGCATTGATGAACAAAAGCGATCAATTAGCGGAATATAGTCAAGTCTGTCTACCTATACGCACCTTGTATCCTGGCTTGCACTTGTAGGTGACGGTGGATCCGACCCGGAAGGAGGTGGACTGCGGCGCCAGGTTCCCCGTCAGCTGGCGGGCCTTCTGGCGCATCCGGTCGTTGCCCGAGATACTGAGCACAGAGTTCCTGCGGGAACAGATGAAGGGACCGCGTGAGACGGGAAGCGTTCGGACAACGGTCTGAAATCAGCGTCATTATCCTCTCGGGGTCGCCGCAGCGCACCTCATCTCCTCTCCTTCCCTCCCCTCTCCTCTCCCTCCCTCCCTCTCCATTCTCACTCTGTCCTCTCGGGGTCGCCGCAGCGCACCCCTCCCTCCCTCTCCCCCTCTTCATACTCACTCTGTTCTCTCGGGGTCGCCGCAGCGGACCTCTCCCTCCCTCTCCCCCGTTCTACTCACTCTGTCCTCTCGGGGTCGCCGCAGCGCACCTCCTCGCAGACGGGCGCGCTGCCCGACCACCGCCCATCCACCTGGCAGGTGCGCAGCCGGTCGCCGACCAGCTGGTAGTTTCGGGCGCACGAGTACTCGAGCTCACTGCCCAGGTACGTCTGGCCGGTGACGTACTGAACGTCCCCGTGCAGCACGGCGAACGCCCTGCCGCAGTCGATGTCTGCCGGGCGGGGCAGAGGCAGACGAGCCGGTAAGAGCGGGTGCAGCAGCGGGCGGACACGACATTGGGCAAATCCCGATCGGGGCGACCCTCTGGAGCTTGGTGACGAAGTTTTCCCCGGGTCAATATCTTCCCTGTTCCCTTGTTCCCTGGGTCCATAATTCATATCCCGTTATCCCCATTCCCTTTCGACTCACATTTGCAGAGCGGCACGTCTCCGGACCAGGTGCCGTCCATACCCCCCCCTGTTCCCCTTTCGACTCACATTTGCAGAGCGGCACATCTCCGGACCAGGTGCCGTCCATAATCCCCCCTGTTCCCCTTTCGACTCACATTTGCAGAGCGGCACATCTCCGGACCAGGTGCCGTCCCGCTGGCAGCGCCGGACGGGCTCGCCAACCAGCAGGTGACCCACGTTACAGTGGTACTCGACGTCCGAGTTGACGTGGAAGTCGTACCCAGTGACGTAGCTCTCCTCGGGAACGTCCGGCTCGCCGCAGTCAATCACTGACAAAGGGGGAGGGGTACAGTACAGTCACGCTCAATCATTGACAGATCATTGGAGTCAACCAGCCATTCACAGAAGCGTCACATCAACAATGAACTATTCGTATTTCATCGTTGGTTGTCTCTGTCATTTGCGTGCAGAGATATATCATAGTCATAGACATTCAGAGCAAGCGCTCACGTTCGCAGAACGTGTCCTCTCCGCTCCAGGTGCCGTCCTCCTGACAGGTTCTCTGCTCGGCCCCCAGCAGCCAGTAGTCAGCGCCGCAGCTGAACTCAGCCGAGGCGCCCAGGTAGGTCTCGGAGACGGCCACCTCGCCGTGCTGGGGCGCCGCCGGCCTCCCGCAGTCGATCAGCCGACAGACCGGCGGCGGGTCGCTCCACGCCCCGCCCAGCTGACACGTGACCACCGCGCGGCCAATCAGCTGGTGGCCCGGCGCGCACGTGAACGTGACCTCGGTGCCGGCCGTCAGGTCACCCGACTGGGTCAGCGTGGCGTTCTCAGGCGTCTCCAGCGCCGGGCACAGCGAGTCTGAAATGGCCGAACGGGGAGGGAGTCAACAGCAGCGGTTATAGGCAGAGCTGAGAGGTGACACAATCACAGCTGAACTATAAACGAACACCGAGTGGTGAAAACAGCGGTGTCAATAAACGGCAACCCAAACATGCCTGTCACATAATTACGCGTAAGCATAAAGTGAACACGCTAAGTAAGCAAGCAAGCGAAAGCTGAATGTTAAAACGCAACATTTAAGCCGACACTTCACCACGATTCTTGTTACATTTCGTTTTCTTCGCCCTCACCACCTTTCTCCCAACTAGACCGCAGGTATTTACTATCTACAGCATGACGCAAGGCGAAGGCGCACACGTTATATCAAGATTCAGCCTTGCAACAGTGGACTGGATAACAGATAACATTATTTCGGCCGCTCTATCTCACGGTATAATCTCATTTGTCTCTTGTACAGAGCTTGTCACTTTGTTACTAATTGCCCATTGCCCGGACCTCAATTTTATCGTATTTCAGATGAAGACGATAACATTTCAGTTAGAGCGTAAATGGTTCATCAGAATGTTTCGGTTTAGCAAGATACCATAACCAAACCATTGCAACAGACTTTTCAGCTGAGTTAGTGCTGAACTGAATTTACATATTTTATACATTTCACCGAAAAGTCACCATGTCAATGTCTCTATAGGTTCAGAGCGCACCCATACCGGCGTCTCTCTGCCCCGCTACCGGCCCCACCATCCCCCGTCCCGCCGCCCTGTACTCACAGAGACACTGCGGCGTCTGGTCTGACCACGCCCCACCATCCCCCTCCCCATCCTGAGCTCACAGAGACACCGCCGTCCCCCGTCCCGCCACCCTGAACTCACAGAGGCACCGCCGTCCCCCGTTCCCCCGCCGCCCTGTACTCACAGAGGCACCGCCGTCCCCCGTTCCCCCGCCGCCCTGTACTCACAGAGGCACTGCCGTCCCCCGCCGCCCTGTACTCACAGAGACACTGCGGCGTCTGGTCGGACCACGCGCCGCCGTCGGAACAGGTGCGCAGCTGCTCGCCCACCAGAGTGTAGTTGGCGTCACAGACGTACTCGGCGCGCGCGGCGTACGTGGTGCGGTTGTCGACCAGTGTCAGCTGGCCGTGAGCGATCTCGTCCAGCGGCCCGCAATCGACGACTGTCGGCCACAGAAGGGGAGAGAACGTCAGTGGGGTGCCGTGGGGAACATATACAGGGAAACATGATCACCAATCGCCACAGATTCATTAGTAAGAGCTTCATACCAAATCGGACCACATAAGAGACTTTGGCCTGGAAATGCTCAAGATCGCCGTTGTCACAGGTTAACCAGGGTCACCGTTCAGTAATTTAGTATCCCTCAGAATAATTTCACCATCCGGAAACGGGAGAGAGCTATCACTGAGGTCGGGGGGATCGTGGTTATAGGGTCAAAGGTCTGGTCTCTGCCGTAAGCCGACGGAGTACGGGAAGACCCCGGAAAGGTCGCGGGAAGGTCATGGGAAGGTCATTGAGAGATGACGGAAAGGTCCCACATCAGTTGGGGAGTTCGCGAGATGGAACGTCTGGGCTAAAGGCGAAAGTCGGCAAATGATAGACCAGTGCTGTGCATTTATGACGGCTGAGCTAACGATAAATTACGCTATTACACGCGACGGTCACACAGCATGTGATAAATTCGGGTGAGTCTGTAAAGTGCACCCTGTTCAGTGTCATAGTGTGCAATGCGCAACAAACAGCTCCGGAGTGCACTAACAGGCATACGTCGGGTGGGTACTGGGTACCCGATACTCAGTACTCTGTACTCTGTACCTACTCGGTAATCAGTACTCGGTACTCACACTGGCAGGTGGGCGCGGCGCCCGACCAGAAGCCCGTCTCCTGGCACGTGCGCACCTCGTCCCCGACCACCTTGTTGCCCTCTGGGCAGCGGTAGAAGATGGTACGGTTCAGGCCGAAGTCGCTGCCCACGATAGTCGTGTTCTCGTTCTTGTCCGGACTGCCGCACATCTGGGGCTCTGGGGAGAGGGGTGGAGGACCGAGTCAGAGCGAGCGCGAGAGAGAGACACAGGGAGAGAGGGAGGGAGAGAGAGAGAGAGAGAGAGGGGGAGGGAGGGAGGGAGGGGGAGAGACGGGAAGGGAGGGAGAGAGAGAGGGGGGAGGGGAGGGAGAGAGATAGGGAGAGAGAGAGAGGGGGGAAGGAAGAGAGAGAGGGAGGGAGAGAGAGAGGGGGGAGGGAGGGAGAGAGAGAGGGAGAGAGAGGGAGGGGGAGGGAGGGAGAGAGAGGAAGGGAGGGAGGGAGAGAGAGAGAGAGAGAGAGGGAGAGAGAGAGAGGAAGGGAGGCGGACGGAGTGGTGGAGGACCATCAGAGGGCAGCCGTGGAGAGTGGTGCTAAGAGTTGAGAGCAGCACGGACAATTATCACACGTGTTACCCACTCAGATGTGATTGCAGTTGACGTAAAATGATTCTTAAAGACCTCATTTAGCCACTGCAACGTGCAATTGCCAGGCTGCATTATGCCATCGTAAACCCGAGAGACCCGTAATGGACGTCATTAGAGGCGGGCATTGTGTCAACGTCTTTATAGAAGATAGAATTTCCAAGACATAACGTAATGACATGAAGAGTAATCGGGGAAAGCAAGTGCGAGTTAACAAATAAACGGTTCATTTGGTTCCGAAACAATTTGTTCAATACAGTCAAATGCATCAGCAGCTACGTACCTGTCTTTACGAGGCATTTACTCGGCTTCAGAACATACGAGTACCTACAGCAATCCAAGGCCTGTTTCACTTTCACAGCCTAGCCTACCCAAAATTACACAGTTCACTAAAATCACTAAAATTCCACACAGTTTTACTGGACTCACTGCACTCGCAGATCCAGTGCAGGTAGTGTGTGTTACAGGTGTATTTACTCACTGCAATCGCAGATCCAGTGCAGGTAGTCTGTGTTAGAGTTGTATTTACTCGCTGTACTCGCAGATCCAGTGCATGTAGTTATTAGAGGTGAATCTACTCACTGTACTCGCAGATCCAGTGCAGGTGGCAGGCAGGTAGTCTGTGTTATATTGTGTCTACTCACTGTACTCGCAGATCCAGTGCAGGTAGTCTGTGTTATATTGTGTCTACTCACTGTACTCGCAGATCTAGTGCAGGTAGTCTGGTTAGTACAGATGTATTTACTCACTGTACTCGCAGATCCAGTGCAGGTAGTCGAGCTGACAGCTGACGTCGTTCCAGAGCCAGTCACGGCCACCGTCCAGCACTACGCAGTTCTGTTCACCCACGTAACTGTTGGGCTGGTCACGACCCCAGCGTGGCTGGACCACCTCAGTGCCTGGGGACAGCGGCAGGGGACGGTCAGCGAGGGGAGGGGGGGGGGGGACAGAGCAGCCAGCCGCACCACCTCGGTGCCTGGGGGCAGCGGCAGGGGACGGTCAGTGAGAGGGGCTTCAACATCCGCGCGGCAGCAGTAGCACAAGACGTTCTTTGAAATCACTAGTGAGTGCAGTTTTTTTAGTTACCTCTTAATTAGTACCTCTTAACCCGCGCCGGGCCGGTGCTCTGAGAATCCGCGCCAGGCCGGGGGAGGGGGGGTCTGAACACCCCCCTTCTAACTCGGCTCCTGGGCCACGTAGCGACACGCGGTAAGCGGCAATCGAAAGAACGTCCAAAATAAGGACGAAAACACTTCGGTCATTTTTTGGGTCAGGTCAAAGCTCAGGTCACCAGAGGTCACCAAAGGTCAAATGTCCACTATTTCAACATTTTGGAAACTACCAACGGCTATCTCGGGAACCGATAGAGCTACAGCGCCGCGGAAAAGCGCATTCGATAGCCCTTTTACAGACCTTTCTGAGTAGTGTTCTCAGATTTGACCTCAGGTCAACGGTTTAGCCTCCAGAGGGCAAAAACTCCAAAAATAGCCGTTTTTACGAAAAACGTTTTTTCGGCAATAACTTTTGACTCAAAAGAGCCACGACATTACTTTTGCCACCATCGTGTTCCTCTCGTCGAGACGCGTCGAATGAACTATAAGTTGACCTTGAAAGGTCAACTTGAAAATTTGACCTCAGGTCAAGGTCATGACCTGACCGGAAAAGGTCATGTTGCATATCAGTCGATCCGCAACGTCGAGCCGAACACATCTAAGGCGTTTTCAGCGCTCTAGCACGCCTCTAACAGAAGTTATTAGCGAAAAACTGTTAGATTCTGTTCGTGACCTGAGATGACCTCGGGGACATAACGAGGGGTCACAGTTGCCATTTTCCGGTTCAGTGTGTCAATTTTACCTACATCTCGATGTTTGAGAGTGTCTAGAATAGCGTTCGTGCAAAACAGACGCTTTTCAATTTTCTCCCATTGACTTATACCTAATGGAGAGGGCGCAAAGTTGGCCTGACCTTAGGTCACCGATATCAAAATTCCGAGATATACATTTTATAGATAATGTTTCTCTAATCAATCGCTGAAAGTTTCAAGGCAATCGATCAATCGATGTAGCTATGACGAGCATTCTTATTTTTTTCTGAGGTGAGGTCACTTGGCGTGACCTGGTGACCTGACCTAAGGTGAACTGGGTCTGAAATTTTCACAACATGTGCGGAAAAGATGCACGAACAGGTGTGCCAAAAACGGCGGCGCTCCTTTTGAGATATCTGCGAAAAACCGCAGGGGGGGGGGGTGTTCAAACACCCCCCCGGCCCGGCGCGGGTTCAATGTCTTGTACGTCGAAGAGAAAATAAACACCCAAACACCGACCCACCATCGACCCCGCGCCACTCACCGTCGACCCATCGCCACATGTCCTTGCCAGGCACCTTCCTGATGCCCACCCAGATGAGCTGGGTGCGCATGGCCGCCTTGCTCCGCTCCAGGTGGTCCAGCAGGTAGGCGAACGCCGGGTCGGGCAGCGTGTGCACCAGGTCGCCACTCATACGCTGGCAGTGCTGGCGTGCCTTCAGAAAGTCGGCGCCCTTGTTCAGCTGCAGCTCGTAGCACGTCTTGTTGTAGAGGTTCAGACTGTCCAGGGGCACATCCGGGGCGCACTGCTCCTTGGCGAACTCTGCGGAGCACAGGGCGGGGGAGGTTAGTCGGCCTTTCTTAGAATAAATCGATCATGTAATAGAAGTTAGTCTTTGGCGCATCTGGTACGCACGTTTCCAAGTCTCCACTCTAAACAATGCATTTTCTATGAAATGACTGTCCTGTGGATTAGATACTGACCTAAGTATACAGCAAGTGACCGCTGCGCCTGTTCAGCTCGAATAAATAGCAGGTCATCAATCTGCTAGCTATGAGAGTCTCGTTTGTGACGAAAGGTACGGTGCACACAACATATAACGGCCGCATATTGGCATTTATCATATCACAATGGCATGACGTGCACCCAGAAGAAAACGGTTAGGTATAAGCCGTCACATATAATGCGGTGAGATGCCTAGCGCCATAAAAACGTCTCAGTAATGCATGGCTGCACACGTCTGTACCAAAAGTGCCGAACTGAGCATCAATGTGATACTACAGTTATGAAATCGCCATTGCTTTCCCCCATACAGAACCCAAGATTCCCAGGCATTTCTCCCAGCACGATAAGGCGTGCGAACTCCCGGTCGAAACTCCACCGGACCGCCGCGCCATTCGCCTCAGCTGCTGAGCCGCCGTGCGGTTCCCGGCTGCACGCTGGGAGGCCGGGCGTGACAGATTCGCCAATTCCGCGGCGGATAGTGGCTCAGAGAACGACCACAGAGGAGAACCGTTCCACCCACCCGCCTCAGACGCGGCAGGAGTCGCTAAGAAGCTGCAGTTATGAAGAACGGTTCCACCCGCCCGCCCCGGACTCGGCAGAGGTCCGTGCGATGTTGCGATTCCGCCTCACCCCAGACTCGCCAGAAGACTGCGATGCCGCACATAACTAGTTCCGCCCGCCCGGACTTGCTCTAGCTCTGTGCGATGCCGCGGTCACGCGCACCGAATACCACTCGGTGGCCGGCGTGAATAATGCTTTCGCCCATGCCGGCGCGGGCGGCGGGGGCGGCGTGGAGCAGCGCGGCGCGGCAGATACGGCACATGGCGGCGAGATGTGGCGCAATGTGGCGGTCGGCGCGCCCGGGTTGTGTAACTGGTCTGTGGGCCCGGTGCGGCTGTCCATGGTCGCCGCTCTGGAGCGGGTGGGGTAGGTTAGAGCAGGCACCAGCGCCGGCGGACGAGCCATCCGCAAGTGCGACTCATAGGCGGTCGGGACAACTCCCATTCACAATCACGAAACGCACATCTCGCACAAAACAGCATAGCGGAAGTCGTCAGTTGATATTCTCTCACGTTCCTGAGAAATTCGGCTGCCTGGTGGGAGTTCAGCGCACAGCAGCGCGAAATAACGGTGCGAAATGCGAATCAATTTGTCGCGGCGCGCCTCGGCCAGGTGATGCACGCGGCGGCCTCTGACTGACAGTTCAGCGGGCGCGATCGGCCGCTCCGGGTCGCGCCTCCAGTCCGCGGCGGCAGCGGCTGCAGGCTGCCGCCCACCCGTTACCTCCGCGATGACGCAAGGGCGCGCCACGAGCTCCCTGATTAATGACGTCACATTTCTCTCGACTCGTCTCGTCCGCCCTTCCATCCAGGATCCATGGGTAGCAGTCACGAGTGGCCTTGTTCTGGGCCGGAGAGGCGGCCCTCCCGCCGGGGAGCAAGGTCAAACGGCGCTCGGCTGGCGTCTCCTAAACACTCTAATAGCGCTGCAGCGGCTCATCAGCCTACAGCGCGCTGGAGCTGAATGTCGCCCGTCATGGTGCAGGCGGTGATATTCCAACAGTGGGCTAGCATTTGTTAGATAATATTTTGTTCAGCGTAGACGTAACGTGGTAAGCGACACTTTGACAATCAGCGTGGTCTGCAAATAATAAAATCTTATCGAAATCAATGTAAAGTGCTAGCGAGTATCGTGATGTAAAATTGGAAGTATACCTTCTCTCTAGCAGGACATGTGCCGAAACGTCAACCTCAGCTGCATGTTGTCAGCGCGCGTTACAACTGTTCCTGTAAAACGTCTCCACCTCCTTCGTCAACACCTACCACTCGTTTATCGCACTCACCCTGCGAGCTGAAGACCTGCACCTCGCAGAGCGACAGCGCCCCCTCGACGCCGACCATCTGAATGAACACGTATCGGCCCGTCATGGGCCGGGCGCACTTGAAGTCCTTCTCGGCGCCCTCCTCCAGCGTGCCCGGGAACCAGGCGCACAGCCGGTTCTGCTGCAGAGTCGGACTGGTGCCCACACGGATCTCAATGTCCTGCAGCGGCTTCTGACCTGCGGGCGGGTCAGAGGGGGGCGGGGTCAGAAGGAGACTGACGGAGGGCGGGGTTAGCTGGAAGGTCAAAGGGCGGGGTCAGGTGGTGGAGGATGCCCTGTGGGTGGGAGGGTCAGAGGGCGGTGTCAGGTGCAGGGGTGACCTGGGGAGGGCAGGGTCATGTGGCGGCGGGCGGGCTGCAGAAGGCTGCTGAAGCAGTTCAGGGCGGGTTGGGATATGGAAGCGACACCGCGGTTTATAACGTATCCGCACCATAGCCATTGGACAGGAGACGCACCGCCTCAAACATTGTGCAGACCGTAAACTAGTGGAGAGGACGGAGAGTAGGTCAAAGCCAATGCTCGTTAGGTGTTTAGGTTGCGCACCAAGAATTGCAGAAGTCGTGACACGCCATTGGGTAGGAGGGGAGTGGGACATTAACTGAGCAGTGGGCTTGATCTGATCTGCCGCCAAAACTGACGTCTCATACGATCGGATCGTTCGGATGCAGCCTGCCTGTGCGACCCAGTTTCTGTGCCGTATAAGGGAGGAAGGTGCGGCAAAAACTGCAGTGCCGCGGCGTCCAGACATCGAAGGGATAAATGGGACATGGAACGGGATATGGAGGATTGTAGCAGAACGGCGCGGTACACACCGAGCGGGGCTGAACTGAACTGAACTGAACAAAATCCTAAACTATGAAAACAAAAGTTTACTTATAAGAGAAATAGTGGGAACAGAGAACTTCTTATTGATCGGCCAGTCTGAGATCTGCTCTGTGAAGATCAAACAAATGGACTTTGAATGGACTTTAGATAAATATTTGTTTGCGCTTTTCAGGTTATTTGAAAATTGTAGCATCGTAGTTAGGTACTCGTGTTTTGATGTTTATGTCGTTTTACCTATATTTGGTCAGCGGCGCTCTTACAAAATATACCTATCCACTTATTAGGAGAAAGTAGAAAATCAATAAGTTTTACCCATCATTTGATAAGTAATTAGAAATAGTTCACCAAAAGCTGTTGGATATCTATCGTATGAAAGATGAGGCCGGCAATCATCTTTCTGTCGGACAAGACCACCTCTCTGTCTCGGTCTCAGTGTGCAGTATTTTGGTTGGACGGGACCGGGGCCGGGAGAAGAGGAGTGGACCGGTCAGCCAACCGCCCACACCAGTCGTATATGTCCGACCGTCCGTCCGTCCGTCCGTCCGTCGGGCAGAGCTGGTCTGACCGGTACCGGGCGGTGTCACCCCCCCCCCCCTCCCCATCCCCCTGCTCCCCGCGTGGTGACACGGGCATAGTCACCGTGACACGGGCCACCTCTGCAGCCGGTGACCGCGTGACCTCCACCCCGAACGGGGCGGGGGGGGGGGGGGGACTCGGTTACCGTCCGTAGCCTGCCCTACCCTACAAACAGGGTGTAACGGGAGACTCGGCACGGCAGACGCAGCCGGTCAGGGGCTCAGAGAAAGGCGGTCAAACCAGGGCAGAGTCGTGACAGATAAACTGTGCAGTGGGTTTTGCGAATAACGATAGTGTTAGAATCATGAATGAACCTTGCTTATGACTACTACGGGAGGAGTGACAACACAACCTTAAAACTATCATGAATTAAGAAGATCGTTTGATAAACGTTTTACGATTGAAAAGCATTGCACTTGATAACTGGATTTTAGGTATTCCTGCGGCATGGGCATTTTGGACTCGCTATGCAGACGTGCCCCTGTGGACTGATGCAGCTGCCACGTACCGCAGCAGCCGCGCGTGGTGATGCGGATCAGGTCGACCGGGTACTCCGCCAGCAGGTCGACGCGCCACCAGGGCGACGCCTGCTGCAGCGTCTCCGTGCACCGGCCGCCGTCGTGCAGCGTGCTCCGCTGGCCGTCGTTACCGTTGGAGGCCGGGCCGCCGCGCGCCGTCGACGACTGGTTCGACGGCTTGCCCTCCGCCACGTTCGTAGCTGGAAATGCAGGGGAACGTCAGTCGTCCGTTCAACAGCTGTAAAAGAGATTTGGCGCAGATTTGGTCAAATTAGTTGCATTCGCCAGATAGCCCGTCGTGAAAGCGGCTAATATTTCAGAATCAGAGCTAATTTAAACGGTCATTGTATAGGATTTGTGGTGTCATTTCTATTGAACAGGTTAACAGAACTCGTACAAAGCCATCGGGAAATTTCGCCTTTTCCTAAAATAAAATTGTGTCTTTCCAACTGGGTCGTTTGGGTACGCGAGACGCTTGTCATACCAATAGCCTAGTAGAAGTCTGATTCCAAGCTCTGTTGTGCGGCAGACCTATAGGAAACAACACAGCCTAACAACGAGCAAGGCAAGGCGAAAGTCAGTTCACATGACATTTCGACCTGATCAGTTAGGGAAATTACATTCCGTTAGACGGTAGCCGACCCTTAATTCAGCTTGGAAAGTAACCAGTCACCATCAAAATACGCTGCAGGCTGTGCCATTAACCACATTCACTCACTGCCCTAACCCCTAAGCAGAGAGGGACCGACCAACGCGTCGGTCTCCAGCGGTTGCTATGGTAACGACCTGGACGCGCCCCGCCCCTGGCTCCATCCAGCCGTGAACGAGCCCGTAATTCGAATACAGTGCTCGCCTAATAACGATCACTTTCTCTTCCGTAGGCGACCGCCGCGCCGGTCGGTGGAGACGGAGGTATGGAGGGGAGGGGGGTGGGGGGGGGGCGGCCCACCGGTGACCCTGGGCTTTCTCCGCTCCGATGCTCTGCCGATGGACCGGACCGGACCGGACCGGGCCGATCAGCTGCTCGGAATTGGAGCGCTGCCAGCAGAGGGCTGATGGCTGGGGGTTAGACCGATACTGGTCGGAGACACCTGGACAACTGGGTATACTAAATGTGGAATGGGGTGGTATAGGGGAAAGGCTGCTAGATAAAGGACGCGGGATTGCTGGCTGAAGTCTTCAAGCCTTCAAGGCGACTGGCGAAAGGATTTGAGAGGCAACTGCCTTCGTCAAGCTGCGTAGCACTAACATCACACGCGCTTTAGCTATTGTAGCCTTTTTGTATAGCGGCGTCTCAATTAATCTGCTTCTGAGCAGACCATTAACATTCACTCCGACCCATCACAAGGTATTTTAATGGCAAGAAGCGCTGGATGTCCTTTTGATCCGGAAACAATGCCCGATTTATCACCGAGCGTGATTTATTGCCCCGTCCTTGGTCGGATATCAACACCCCGCATCGCGAATAACCTCCTTTGGTGATAAATATCGGTGACACGTAAGAGCAGCTTTTGGAGAATGTGTAATGAAGTAACTTCCGCTTGTTAAACTGAACCACTACTAGCAGAATGTCCCGCATTGTTATTCACGTTGACCCAGAGGCGGATCCAGCTCAGAGCTTTAGGGGGGGGGGGGGGAAACCATAAAAATTTATCGAATATTTCCGTGCATCGTCCATAGGCGTAATGTTAAAATCATGCCGTTGGGGGGGGGGGGCAAATGCCCATTTTGCCCCCCCCCCCCTGGATCCGCCACTGCGTTGACCAGCCAATGCACCTGCAGATAAATGTTTTTAGCGTTTACGATCAATAGCAATTTCACACCGACGTTAGACCAGTTTCCGAATACAAAACAATTATCTACAAAGCATACCTACTCCTCGGCGATCGAACAACCAATGGTTATGCTAAAAAAGATGAAAAAATCGAAAACTAAACTGTCATTATCTAACCGGTACCTACTTTCTCGGACCTGCCTAAATTCATTCCGCCCTCGCCGCGGGCTTAGGGCTAGCTCTGAATTCGGAGGGCCGGCGTCGCTCCCTAGGGTGGTGGGTTTGCGCCGAGGGCATCTCTCAATCGAGGATCTCCTCAAAGTGACTGTCCCGGGTACCCTGGGGCTGTAGGGGAGGATGTCCCCAAGGTACTGTACTGGGTACGCTCAGGCGGTGTTTCATGCCGACGGCGGCCCTCAAGGGAGGATGTCTCCAAGGTCTCCGCCGGCCCCGGGGCGCCGGCGTCCGCCGACGGCTCTGGAGCCGGCCCGTCCCAAGGTCCGCACTCACCGCAGGTGGGCGGCTCCCCCGTCCAGGTGCCCTCGGACGTGCACAGCCGGCTGGCGTCCCTGCGAACGAACGGAGAACGGAGTCAGATAGGGAACGGCGTCAGATAGGGAACGGCGTCAGACGGGGAACGGAAACGGAGTCAGACAGGGGGAACGGCGTCAGACGAGGAACGCCGTCAGACGGGGAACGGAGTCAGACAGGGGGACGGCGCAGCGTCAGACAGGGGAAACCGCGTCAGACGGGGGAACGGAAACGGAGTCAGACGGGGAACGGAGTCAGACGGGGAACGGAGTCAGACGGGGAACGGAGTCAGACGGGGAACGGAGTCAGACAGGGGGAATGGAGTCAGCCGAGGGAACGGAGTCAGACAGCGAGGGGAAGGGGAAGTTAGATCCCGGGCACAGCGGCAGCTGCCGGGCCGAGGACGGAAGGCGAGGGGGAGGTAATCCGAAAACAGGAAAAAAACAATAATTTGGATAAGTGGAAACCGTGAGAGGCACGCAGCTGGGACATGACGGCGCTGTAAGTGCTTACTATGGTCGTCACCGCTTTCCCATGACAATGAACGGAAGCGTGTAGGAAAGAACAAAACGAAGATGATTGAGGAGTTCAGCAGTTGTGTGTGTCACGGCTGGATAATGTAAGTACCTGCAATCTCGACAAACCCACCCAAATGGCCCACCTATGTAAGTCACCTTCCAAACTACAGCAATGGCAGAGCCTCAGGACTGCCGATGACGTTTAGTCCAATCAATGTCTCACCACGCGAGGATCCATCCCTAATCGCGGTGCCATCAGAGGGCCAGCTGCCGGACCGGTACCCCCCCCCCCCCGTACCGGCCAGCCGGGTGAGCCGGAGCCGGTCGGTGTGGGGTACCTCTCTCCCACGCCGGTGGCGGTGGGCACGTGCCGCTCCTTAGCCACTCTCTGCCTCAGACCGCCGGGACTCTCAGGGTCGGTTTCTCTGGCGGCGGCGCGGGCGTCAAAGGCGCCAGGACTGAGCGAATTTCCATATTCCCGGGAGGCGTGGTGCGCGGGTCTCATGTGAAAACCGAGCAGGGGTTTAAAGTTTGAACATACGAAGATTAAATGATAGGAGCCCTTTGATTAAGATAGGTGAAGTGGGCACGTTCATACAAGCGTATGCGTAATTATAAGAGCTGGCCAAGGGTAGCTCCATTAATGAGACGCACGGTTGGATAAAACACCTCGAAGGACGCCGACAAATGACATATTATGTAACTAGTCAGCATTTTTTTCAATCTGGAACAAATCACTTCCAAGTTTCAATCACTTAGAAGCATGATTACAAATCGAGTACCTAAGGGTGAAATGCCGAAATGGATTGGCGTTTGATTTGTCCAAAGCTCCAGCGGTCGTGAGACTTGCCATTTGCCAACGCCTCTATGTATTGTAAAGAAAAGTCATTCAAACCGCACTCTGTGCTTCCGCGGTCACTCTGCATTCAACTACATGCCGATATTCAGCCGCAACTTCAGACTTCCGCGGTCAGTCTGAGTTCAAATATACGCAAGTGTTCAGCCGCAGCTCCGGGCAGCGAAAAATCCAGCAAAGAGTGAACGAACTCCACCCCAGCCGCCCAAAGTTCAAGGGCAGCTGAGGATTTTCGTCAGGAAGTGAGGGTGATGTTCACGATAAGTACGAGACAGAGCGACACGGCGACACGGTGGAAACGAAAACAAACCAGACCTCACAGGGGGAACCCGCCGATTCATCTACATGTGCCGAGTGTTCTCTTCTCCAGCCCCCCCCCCCCCGTCGACCATCAGCCACTTGCCAAGCGGTCAAGCGCAGTCTGCTGGTCCTATAGGTACGGCCGAGAGCTGACTGTCACAACACGAGGAAAACACACACTAGACGGCCCGTGAACGAGTCCTCCGCGCGTGAAATCCGCCATTGTACGCTCGAAGGCGCACGGGGGCGGCTCGGAATCGCGGCGCGGCGTTTCTCAACATGCGCCGCGGTTCGGCAGCGGCGCTCGGTGCGCGCTGGGCCGTTTGACCGGCGGCCTGCACCGCGTGGTCTCGGCTGGGTGCTTCCGAAGGTGACGCAGCCACCTGTCGCAGCAGGCCCGTCCTGGAAAACGGTTACAGAACGGTAGAGAGGACAGAACCGAGCTGAACCAGGACGCTCAGACGGACCAGAAATGTGGAGCCGTTAGAGGGTGCAGTGGGGAGACAATGGAGAGCGTGAACTGAGGCACCGACTGATAACGGACAAACGAGAGCAGCGTTTTGCCAGGCGACGAGCTGACGGAAAGTCGACGAAGAGAGCGTAGGTATCATTTAGGCTGCAGGATTGATTAGATTTAGAAATTATATCAGATGAATACACCAAGAGCCGTTAGAAAGAAGGACGTCAGACTTCAGAGACCTGAATACTAATGGATGATTGAAGAGCTAAGTCACGGCAGTGCAGAAAGCATTAAACTCGACGCAAGGTATACGTGTACTTAGTTGGGTCCAGCATGCACGTGGCGCGGTTGGCGGCGACGACGGCGTAAGAGACGTCATACAAAAACAGGTTCCAGTCCGGCCTGTCTGGCCCGGGCGGAAGGACGGGCGAGGTTTTGCGTCCATCTCGGGTGAAGAAACACGCGAGACGCCAACATCCGGTGTCTAGTCGGTGACAGGAAGGTATTTCAACAGCCGACGAGTGCGAGGAGGGATACGGTTGGTATCCATAAGGTGGTAAATGAACACCTCTCGAGCACAGACGTTCGGTAGGTGTCTGGTTATAAATGATCACAAGTGCCCAAAGGGCAGGGTGTTATCTGTGGACCCCTCTTATCACTTGATTCTCATTTCAGACAAGATAGGTAAGGTTTTGTTTTAGCTGCCCATATGTCTCAGTGAGTAGGCTTCTTACCAAAATAAAAGCTTTAGACCATAAAATTTGTAGCAAATGAGCAGGAGCCACATCAGCAACCTAATCCCTCACAGTCGAACAGAGGTGCCTGTTGACAGCCGCCAGGCCGGGCCTCCCATCATTCAATCAAACTAGCCATAAAACGTCTAATTGCAAAAACGACAGCAAGCAACGCAAAGGACGGATTTATGAGACAATGCGTAATTAAAGGAAGGGTGCCACCTTCCGAAATTTTTGTTCTATGAATCTATTTTACTTATTTGAATTTTTAGACGTGGTTAGCGCGTCCACAATATACAAAAAACCGAAACATTGCATTTAATACATTGGCCAAAAAAAAGATCGTTGTTTATATCACCACTACAACTCAAGGTCGTTTGATGTGGCAGCTAGGACGGCTGGCATATCCTGTTGTCATGGCAACATATCATTCTGCCATTTGCATTGATGGCGCAACTGAGACAAAAAGATGAACAAATAAAAAGGAAGAAGATAACATGATTTGAACTAAGTTGTAGGTAACCAAGTAGGTAACTGTTGGCCATATTTGCCAACAGTTAAAGAACATCAAATAAGTCGAGTAAAGGTTTTTCCTTTACAATGCTTAAGAGATCTATGGAACCCTTCACCCTTCATGCAACTTACTAGAAAAACTTCCCAATTAAAATTGTAAAACTTAAGTGTATACCATAAAGAAAAAATATACCCTTTCAAAATGATAAAACATGCTTCAAAAGTATAACTTTTATACATACCTTTGCTGATTTCATGTTTTATAAAATACCCTTAACACGACGAGGAAATAGTGCTGAAGATTTTTGCCTGCCCGAATGCTGGCAGCAAAACTCGCAAATGATAACTTCACGTGCGGATTCAATGCTGACCGTCTCGAGCATAGGTAAGTGAAGCCGGTTTTTAGGTTCATGTGAGGCTAATCTTGTAAAAACTGCGTTGTGTCCAAAAGGTGGCACCCTTCCTTTAATGTGCATACATAGCTAGGGATTTCACGCCGCCAATTAAGGCATCCCTCCCCCCTCCCCTCAGGCTGCACCTGAGGGTAAAGGGACAACAAGTTTTATACCTGGGTTAGGTTACGAGTAAGCTTCATACATGGTTGAGGGGGGGTCTGGTATGGTTTACCATAAGCATACCTATGCTCATTGCTGTACCGAAGTAGGTAACAATTTGGCAAAAGTTCATCTGAAGCGATTTAAAAATACGTTTATAGTAGCGTGCGCTTCTCATGTCATGAAGGAAAGACTGCAAATAAAATAAAAGCCTACGGGATAGGAAAATGGCTTCATTTCAGAGAAATTCACTTTTGAAACCACCCTGTGTCGGCACTATCTTTAAGTAATTTCTGTGGCTCCGCTGGTCCTGACTTCAGGCAGCTAATCCTCCCCTGACCTTCACAGCGCCTCTCGGTCCGTCTTTCTCGCGGCTGAAGTTTCACTACAAAACCACCGAGCCCCGCACAGGGCCGGTTTATACCAGCGTGCCGCCATTTTTGTCCCCGGGGAACAATGAGGCGAGGTCGGACACCCTTCAGTGTCGCCGCGTTCCAGACGCTTCTCCCCTTGTCAAACTGGACCTGAGCTGAACCAGTGGGACCAGCCCTCTGGACCAGGTATAAATGGGGACCAGTTCAGTGGGGCCAGCCCTCTGGACCAGGTATAAATGGGGACCAGTTCAGTGGGGCCAGCCCTCTGGACCAGGTATAAATGGGGACCAGTTCAGTGGGACCAGCCCTCTGGACCAGGTATAAATGGGGACCAGTTCAGTGGGATCAGCTCTCTGGACCAGGTATAAATGGGGACCAGTTCAGTGGGGCCAGCCCTCTGGACCAGGTATAAATGGGGACCAGTTCAGTGGGACCAGCCCTCTCTACCAGGTATAAATGGGGACCAGTTCAGTGGGACCAGCCCTCTCTACCAGGTATAAATCGAGGCCAGTTCAGTGGGACCAGCCCTCTGAACCAGGTACCTATAAATGGGGACCAGTTCAGTGGGACCAGCCCTCTCTACCAGGTATAAATGGGGACCAGTTCAGTGGGACCAGCCCTCTCTACCAGGTATAAATCGAGGCCAGTTCAGTGGGACCAGCCCTCTGAACCAGGTATAAATGGGGACCAGTTCAGTGGGACCAGCCCTCTCTACCAGGTATAA